TGTAATATCGCATTTCTGAAATTGTCAAAATGCCATATCTCTTGCCATCGTCATAGCTCAGGGCCCACATCTCATAAGGAATCTCATTCAAATATAAAAAGGCACTCTCATTTATGCCTCGTATTTGTTGCATACATTCGTGAAATTCATGTTCTGTGGGAGTGCTACCAGCTTGCCAACACAATTTTTTCAGATCCGCGTTTCTGAACTTGGTCATGAAATTACTCCGTATGTGACAGAGGCAATAACGCTTTGAAACTTGTGACAGATCCTCCCTGCAACTGTGATGGGGTTGATATTTTTTAACTTTCCATTTTGTGGAATTCATACCTTCTGCTGCTTGGATATGCCAAGTGCAAACAGTCGGGTAAATGCAAACCGCCTTCCAAGACCGTGCTCTTTTGTCAACCGATTGGAATTGACGAAATTGACGAATGTTTTCTCTCGCCACCGCTTCTTTCAGTGCATCAAATGAAGGGTAAATTGCGCCAACTTCGATCCTTTGAGGCTCAGAATCAAGCACATATGGTTCTTCTATCTCTACATTGGCCCAGGTGGGGTCTACTGTCTCGTCATTACCATCCCTCGTGGTTGTATCGACATCACTACAAAAACCTTGTTCATAGTCTGGGTCGTCAGACTCTTCACCCGAATCTGAATGAATTCATAAGAGTAAATGTGTTAGATTTTGTTTAAACGAGTTATATTATAAAATGGAAGTTTTCTCTAAATCAATGAGTTCAAAATTACAAAAATAAATACTTCTAAAACAAAATAAAATTTTTGTCGAATAATTTTTTTTATTAAAAAATGTATTTTATAAAATTTAATATATATAGTTTTTAATAATAAAACAAAGTATTTCTAAAAAAACACCCTCCTGTCGGAATTGGGCTATCCGACAGGCAGTTTTTTTCTATTTTTTTAACCTCCTTGTCGGATTTGAGCATTCCGACAGGCTACATTTTTATTTAATATTATATATGGTTTGATTATCTATTAAATAACGTTAAAAACCATTTTTTCATTAATTAAAAATATAATTTTGTGAAATCCAACATCAATAATGGTTTCAACACGATAATACTCCATATTATTTACATTAAAGACACATATTACACTAAAAACACATTCAACACGATAAATACGATAAATTTGTACACATATAAAATTAAGAATAATATTATACACTAAATTAAAATTCCAATTTCTCAAAACCAAAATTGAAGTTCAATTCTAAATTTAACACTCTTTCTAACTTTCAAGTATTTTATAGCTAAATTTAACCCTAAAATTCAAATTTAACAAATAAATTTCAAAAAATTTACAAATTACTAAATCTACTACTTCTATGTTCCTAAAAAAAATTAAGGCAAATTAAGTTAAAGATATATATATATATATATATATATATATATATATATATATGGAATATTTGGGTGTATATACCACTTTGAATATGTGCAATTAAGTATATGTCATATATTTGTCCTATCATATTTAATTAAGTATATGTTATTAATTTGTCCTATCATATTTATTTAAGCTATATAATTATTTTACTCTAATGATGGCAGTTGTTCCTCCGACTTGATGATGGGCCTTCCACTCCATGAGTTTCGTGGAACGTCGAATTTTGTGGCGGGGTCGCTGAAGCTTCCACGTAAATGTGCAACTCCTCATACTCATTTGTGGCGATCCGGAAAAAATGACGCCATGTTCGCTCATCATGAATGGGCCATATTTCTTGGGGATCCCTTATATGACTTGGGGATGATCCACCTACATTTATTGATTACCGATATGAAGTTAAAAAATGTAACGTCATATAAAGTGTACATTTGACCCCGAAAGCTGTATTTCAATTCTCAAACTGTTTTTAGAGGTCATCCCAATATATCCCAAAAGTCCAATGTCGCAATTAAAAGAGAACAGAGGTAGTATTTTATTTTATCGGGTCAAATAAAATATAACACATGTTCTCAATCATTATTGAACCTTTATATTGTGGAATCCGACTCTCATATATTGGTAACCTAATTCCATTTATCGTATTTTGGCTTGTATCGTAGTATATATAATTTAGCACATTCACCCACAATGTTAAGGCACCGGTTAATATGATTGGTGTGATGATCATTACTCTGCTTTGGGTTTTTCGGAATATCTTGCAAAATATTGAACTACCGAAGAAATCAATTGCGGTAATGCCTTTCAGCATATTGCAAATTATGAGCATCACATCAGCCGACCAAAGCACCATGTCATCAAGGCATTCAGTCTGGGTCGTCCGACTCTTCACCCGAGTTTATGACTGTACAAAATAGATACATTCATAAATTTCAATAATATTATATACTACAAAAAATAAATATATAAAATGTGAGCTTATGTAATTGAATGAGTTAAAAATTACTTAAACGTGTCATATTATAAAATGTGAACTTCTCTAATTAAATGACTTAAAAATTAGTAAAATAAATACTTCTAAATAACAATTTAATTTATAAAATATTTAATTTATAAATTTTCTTAAAAGAAAACAAAATATAGCTTAATTTATAAAATTTCATAAAAATTCTTAAAAAAACAAAAATTCTAAAACATATTCCTTGGTCGGATTTCTCATTTCCGACAAGGATAAAAAGCAAATTTTTAAAAAAATCGAACACCCCTAGTCGGATTACACAATTCCGACTTGGTAATTTATTTTATTATTATTACTGTTTTTTAATTCCTTCGGGTTAGACAAATAAATTAATGGAACATTAGAAAATTTCAAACACTCCCCTGGTCGGAAGTGCCTAATCCGACTGGAGGAGGGTGTTTTTTTAAAAAACCTAAATTCCTGTCGGAATTGGAGATTCCGACTAACGTGTTTTGGTAACCTAATGGCAACTCCCGTTTTTGGGAATGTCAGAACGAAAAGTTTCGTTATTTGGTAATTACTTCCCTGAATTAAGCCCATCAGGTATCGGTGCCTTGTCAGGGTGTATTGCAAAAACAGCTTTCTTAACCTCTCCCATCATGATCGGCCAAAGTAAGTGGCCATTATCATGACTTGAAACTTTCATTAATCCTTATATATCCTCTTGCCACACCATAATGCCATCAGACATAAAGAGGTTTTGAAAATATGTTTCTATCAAATTTTGAGCTGACCCTTATCGCGTACCATACCCATCTCCCATCAGGAGTCTTGAGACCCTTCATAGTATTTATCCGCCTCCTTTGTTTCACCGAGTTGTGAAAGAACTTAGTATTGAGATCTCCTTCTTTCAGTCAGAATTCTTTTGCTCGTTGTCTCCAAAAATCGTTCTGTTGTTTGAGATGAAGATCAAGCAAGACAACTTTCACCCTCATAAACCCATCTATACTTCTCCTATCATACATGTGCCGCAGATAAACCAATCTATTTATGCACTGGTCAATCCTCACCTCTAAACCCAGCTTCATCTTCATGCTCCCGCTTTCTAAAACCTTACCACAATCATTGATTTGATGCCATATACCCCGATGAGATATGTCTTCCCAGCTTTGCCTCAAATCCACTCGGCTCTTCACCTTATAGCAAAATAGTTTCAATATGAAAGCTTTCTTGAAAAGCCGTCTACATGAATAGTCAAAACGGATGTGTAACATAAGTTGGTCGCTTGACGATCCTTTTTAGAGAGAAAGCTTGTATCTCTTTGAAGCTGTCCATCTAGCCACTTAGAGACAATTTGATTCAGTTTTTCGTCAATCCACCATTTTGTTCCTCTGCCCTCTCCCATGTGCACCGATAACCATCAACTTTTAAATTAAAAATAATAATTAACATAAATATTTACTAACTTAGGTTTTATCTCACTAGCTCGATCTATATATTTGCTTTTTTTTTTATCTCACTAGCTCGATCTATATATTTGCTTTTGAGTATCTCACAACTAGAACACATAATTTGAAGTAAATAATTAATTTATTTTTTTGCTTTGTTTCAAATTTTAATTTCAATTTTTGCTAAACATGCTTAAAATCTAATATCTTTTAGGTTTTTGTAAATAGATAGCTTGTGATGAACATCAATTGACTTTTAAATGTTAATATTTTGGTGCATGACATTTTAGAAATGCTAATATATTGTAATTATAAACGGTGATTTTTTGTATAATATTCTTTTGTTATTTCACTTATTTGGGACGTCGTCCCGAACCGTTCCGAATCATTTCGATTCCAATTTAAATGGGATAAGGCTAGGACAAAGACTTGTCCCGTTACTGTTATTACTAATGGGGTTGGATCGTGATAACCCAAATCCCGAACAGTCCCAACCCGTGTTCACCCCTACTTTTTTGGCTTGGGTTGGAGCATATTGAGAGTGATTACTTCAAATTTGGATTGCGGACAGCCTTAAGGTGGCTAGCTGTTATAGTTTTTGTGCCATGGCCCACGCCAAGGCGTTACTTGTGATATTTTGCATGGGATGCATAAATTTTCATTTTTGAATTCATTTTGATAATCTGATAATATAATGATCGACTTAAAATGTAAATCATTCCAAGTGAAAAAAAAAGTATAAATGGTCTGACTTTTCTTACTACATAAAGGATTGGTCAGACCTTGAGTATAAGAGCTGAGGTGGTCCCTCTTGAGAAAGCCTCACTCTATAATGCTTCAAAGTTAATTTGTGATTTTTGCCTCACTCTATAATGCTTCAAAGTTAGTGATTTTTAAAAAACATTTTTAATAAATTACTACTTCGTTGTAGAATATAAAACCACTTATGAGACCATTAATTAGGTTATAATATGTCAGTAGTCAATATTAGATTCAAAGATTTTGGAACCCTATATGTGTGCATGGGGAAGAGGACTAGGGGAGATGGGTGGAGCAGAGCCAAAAGCTTCCTTCAATGAATGTGTGGAAAGGCATAAATGCAGCTATTTGAATGGCTCATTTTTTTGGTTCGTTCAAACCGTAACAACCTTTGTCTATTTAAGAAAATAAAACATTCATTCCAAACAGAGAGGAGGGATATGTAAATAAATTTTTATCTTTTCCCTTTAATTAAGTCTGGTCTAGTTTAGGAATTAAATAAAGCTACTACTATAGCTCTTATCCTAACCTGTACAAAAAAAACAGAAAATATTACCATCTATCTATCTAGGCTAGATGCAAAAAAATATCACAATAGAAAACAAAAAATAATTTTTTGACCAGAAAAAAAAAACAATAATGGAGAGGTCTAATAATTATACTTTCTATAATAAGATAGTTTGGTCATTGTTTGTGGTGTTGGCATTGGCGGCCCCAACCTTAGCGGCGAACGAAACCGTTGAAGTTGCCGTTGACCACGACGGCGTGTGGAGGCTACGCGAGGCGGAGGCGAGAGTAAATGCCCTCAAGGCTTACCATCCTAACCCTGAAAATGTTACCAAAGAGTTCGCTGCAAAAGTAAAAATGTATGTATATTTATACCTAACTAGCTTCATTTTATTCTTTTGTTACTGTTTTATTTGTTTTTGTTCTATATTCTTTTCCCCTATTCTTTTTTGGGAAGTGTTTAATTATTGGTTCCATTTCTTAATTTGACATGTTTTATACTCGTAACAAATCTTGTCTTTTTCGTCTTCTGTTTATTATACGTAGTTCAGCCAAAATATACGGAGTAGTACATACGAAGTATATACTACTTCGTATAAGATTTATTTTTTGGTAAATTCTATGGTACCCATAAGGTACCATACCTTTGTCCACATGAACCAATGAGAATGTAGCAGTTGAATTATTTAAATTTAAATTAAAAATGATAAAGTAGTGTAGTCCAATCAAATGAATGATAGGTACGGTACCCCATATTTTAGAAAGGTACCGGAGTTGTCACCTTTTGTTTTATGATAATAATTCGGATAAGATTTATGTATATCTCACCTAGCCAGTTTCATTTTATTCTTTTATTAGTACGTCCTCTGTTTTTATTCATTAAGTTATTATATTAGTTGTCGCTTTTACTCTTTTATAACCTATACTCTTACATATTCTAATTTTTATAATAATAGAGAATGTTTTGATGATGTGTCCCAGTACTATTCGACCATTATCTCTATTATTTTCCTCTTAAAAATAAAAAAGGGACACAAGTTCAATTCCAGACATTATATTACATGGAAGACTAATTTTATGTGTTACATTCTCAAGATTGTATCCATAAAAAATGTAAAGTTATTTTGAGAATAAGGACAAAGTTGGTGAATGGCCTCAATCAAATATTTATGTTTTAATTTCATTTAATTGTAAGTTTTTTCATTATCTTCATGAATTGAATACCAAAAACTACTTAACTAGAAGTAAGCGTGTTAAAAATATATGCAATTTATAAAGGAATTGGTCAAAATAGAAGTAAAAGGTGAAACAAAAGTCTAAAACAAGACTAGTTAAGAATGTTTTTATTCCCTAAATATGACTTATTTAATTTAGAGAATAAAACGTCAAAAATTCATAATTTGAGAGAAAACTATAATCTTGAGGAAATGTACTAGTACTATATTTTAATCTTATTTAGGAATACTAAAATTTTATACTACGTATATTTTATGTATTGTGAAGATCAATGGATGAGACATTTGGAGGGCTAGAGATGAATGGCACGAGAAGGGAGTTGAGAAGAGCCGAGGGTGGCGGATGCGCGGCCACCAACCCTATTGACAAGTGCTGGAGATGCAACGCCAATTGGGCTGAAAACCGCCAAAGGCTGGCGGATTGCGCCATGGGGTTCGGCAAGGGAACCACCGGAGGAAAGGGCGGCGCGTACTACGTCGTCACCGACTCCTCCGACGACAACGTGTTGGAACCGAAGAACGGAACCCTCCGCCATGCCGTGATCCAGAAGGAGCCCTTGTGGATCGTCTTCTCCCAGAGCATGACCATCCGTCTCTCCCGAGAGCTCATCATGCAAGGAGACAAAACCATCGACGGTCGTGGAAGCACCGTTCAAATCGCTGGCGGTGCAGGTATATACTATCTCCGTACCTTTTTACTTAGTCATCATTGACCTTGATCTATCGTGAATGATAGTGAACTTTAATCATTTTTTAGAAAGTTATAAATTTAAATACTTTTATTATACTATGTTAAATAAGAGTTAGGGTTTCATCCTATAAAAAGTCAAACCTGGTATGAGACAAATACTCTAACATATTTCTTTTATTTTATTTTATCCCATCTTCCCATAAAATTTGTTCATTATTCCTTCGTCCTAAATTATTTTGCAAAGTTAACATTTTTTTGCCAAATAGCATTAAAATAAAATGTTTTCTATCGATAATTATTTCAATTTTAATGATTAAAATTTACATATTCAGAAACTACATTAAAATCTATATAAAATTACAAAATCCAAATTAAAATTTGATTAAAATGGGTAGAATAATTCTTTTCGACACGAAAAAGTTAATTTCGCAACACTCAATTTGGGATGGAATGAATAGTATATTAATATTTAAGGGAAAATGGGATATTTGCACCCTATAAAAGTAGGAATTTTGCTTATTTTTGAGGTTATGACCCTTATAATATGGATGTTCTTGGATTTCTTAACTGAAAAGGTATAAAGATCCAGTTCGTAAAGAACGTCATCATCCACAGCATCAAAGTCGGCGACATCAAAGTGACAAGCGGCGGTTGGATCAGAGATTCCATCGACCACAAAGGAGTGAGGGCCGGCGACGAAGGAGACGGAATCAGCATCTTCGGATCCAACCACATCTGGATCGACCACGTGTCCATGCACAACTGCGCCGACGGAATCATCGACGCCGTCGCGGGCTCCACCGCCATCACCATCTCCAACTGCCACTTCACCGACCACGACAAGGTCCTGCTGTTCGGCGCCAACAACCAGGACCCCATCGACAAGGTCATGCAAGTAACTGTCGCTTTCAACCACTTCGGGAAGAGGCTCCACCAGAGGATGCCTCGTTGCAGGTGGGGCCTCTTCCACATAGTCAACAACGACTACACCCACTGGGAGATGTACGCCGTCGGAGGGTCCGCCGGCGCCACCATCATCAGCCAGGGCAACAGGTACATTGCGCCCCCGGGGAACAACTTCTTTAAGGAGGTCACCCACCGTGACTGCCCCGATGACTCGTGGAAGTCGTGGACGTGGGTGTCCTCCGGCGACGTTTTCCAGAACGGCGCTTTCTTTAAGCCGTCGGGAGACCCCAACGGCGCGGAGAAGTACGGGCACAAGGACATGGTGGACGCTCGAGCCGGCAGCGCCGTGCCGGAGATCACAATGTATGCCGGTCACCTCTCTTGCACTCCCAAAGTCCCATGCTAATTAATCAATCTCTGACCTCGTCATTAATGGTTTATTTGAACAATTAACGAGTGATTAATTGATTAAGATGTACGCAATCCCACTTTATGTCTTTATCTACTTAGTTACGTTTTAAACTTTTATTATGTGTAGTATGTTTGTTCGGTTGTATTTCCATTTATAGTCACACTTTAATGTAAACATTAATAAGAAGGGAAATTTATCTCCATTTTGGGTTTCTATATATATTTAAATTGGTAGAAACAAGTTTATAATTGCTATCCTCCATGTGATATGGAAGAAAGTGGCTTATATTAATAAGAAAGAACGTAAGCAGGATACAAACAAACAGAGAGCTCATTGTTTACCGTAAGCTTTTGAACCAGACTTAGATTCTGTCACCTCATAAGAACCAATTCAACCAGATTCGCTGATCCTGAATTGAGCTTACTTGAGCCAATGACTGGTAAACCAAGCCCTCTATCACTTGTCCTATGTTCTAAAGTCTTAACAGAAATAAAAATAACATCAAACAAAAGTACTCAATGTCCAGAGCAAAAACCAACAAAAAGTAAAACCAGTCTAAAATTAAAAATGACTTCAAATTTCCAAAAGCAGCATATCTTCACAGGTTTAGGCGGGTCTGAGAGCTCCAGCCCGCCTCTTCCCTGTTTTTTGTTCCGTCTAAAGCCATGACATCCTCTCGTGGTTTCTCCTGCTCATGATCCTATGTGTCCCAGGTCCTCCTCCTCTCCTGTTCTCCCGTTCCACTGCTATTGGCCCTTGCTTCCTCAAACTTCGACCCTTCCCCTTTTTCCTGAGTCTTGTTCTGCATGTAATTCTGGCCCTGTTCTTGCTTACCATTGGGATTCTTTTGCAACCCCATAATGCCGCGTCATACCCCTCCCTCGCTAACTAACCATTTAGTCCCCATAGAAGGGCGGGATTTCACAACAGCTTTCTCACAACAGCTTTCTCACCTTTCTCATATAGTAAGGCACAGAATTTTTCAGCATGTCCCATAACTCTACATGCAAAGCAAAAACTAGGAAGTTTCTCATATTTGAAGTCTACCCAATATCATTCCCCTTTACCCTTTTCAAATTTATACCCACCTTTAAGGGGCTCCTCACATCCAGCTTAACCCTAAGTCTCATATAGGCTTCCCACTTCTCATCAAACTACCTATGATCATCTCAGGAAATAAATTTACTCAAGTGGTTTCCAATTTTACGAGCATTTCCTAGATTAGAATATCCATAAGGGTTATTATGCACCGGCCTGTACCCAAAAATCAGCCGTATCAGAATAGTATCTTCCTAATTTTCGATTCTATAAACAGTACAACAATAACAACAATAATATTTCAACAATTCGAAAAGAGTTTATGATCGATTATATAAATCGATATATGACTCTAGTAAAAAAAATATGCTTTTATTTTGTTTCGAATAAAGTCAAGTTTTGGTCATAGAGTATTGCACCATCTTGGCATTCAAAGAATGAATCATGCATACATAAGGATAACATACACACGTGTACATCAACTAATACTGAAGCAAGTGGATTCACGAAGACGTACTCTAGAATCATCTATATAAGTTTGACTAGTTGTTAGATTAATTGAGTTTGTTACACAGATGTAATAAGTATATAAATAACTTCCTATGCATTGGATATGTATTCTTGCTATTCTCTGTTACTCTGATTTCTGCATCAAGGTTTATCAATGAACTTTCATATCCTTTCTTCTCTCTCACGTATGATTCCCTAGTCAATAAATTCTACATGGTATCAGAGCGACTGATTTCTGCCATAGGCACGGCATGGTCAACTATGCCGGAAACGACTGGCTTCTGAGGATATTTCCAGTCCGTACTATCAAGGTTCAGGAGACAATCCAAACATTGTACTTGTGAATCCTCAATTGAACGGTAATAACTATCATTCTTGGTGCAAGTCAATGAAAATTGCTTTAGGAGTGAAAAAACAAAACAAGGTTTATTAATGGTAAATTGCCAAAACCTGATGTTGATGATGATGAATATGAAATCTGGATAAGGAGTGATCTCATGGTTCAGTCATGGATACTGAATTCATGTACAAAAGATGTTGTGCAATGCATTTGTATGAAGATAGTGCTGAACAAATGTGGTATGTGCTATATGAACGTTTTTCGCAAGCAAATTTGCCAAGAATTTTTTATCTGCAGAAACAGGTTTATGCTACAAATCAAGGTAATCTCAGTGTAACTGAGTTTTACAACAAATTAGATTCATTGTGGAAAGAAACTAAACCAGTATAATTCTGTTGTGAACTGCAAATGTGGAGTTATGTAAGCATGTAAATGTGAGATTGTGAAAACGATGGCTGAACGTGAGGAAAGAGATAAGTCAGTAAAGTTTCTGATGGGTTTAAATGATATATTTGCTGGAATCAGGGGACAGATATTGGTGATCAAACCTTTTCCCACTCTAAATCAAATCTTCAGCTTTGTCCTGCAAGATGAAATGCAAAGAAAGATTGGGAATAATGTTAGTATGGAATCAATGGTGATGATGAGCAAGAAGCATTCAGATGAACAAAATGTTCTTGTCCCTTCAGCAAACTACAGCATGCAGAACAAGAGTTTTAAGAACTACAATCACAATATGAAGAGAGAAAGCAAAACAGTTTGTACTCATTGTGGATACACAAATCACACTGTGGATAAGTGTTACAAACTGCATGGATACCCACCTAGTTATAAACCTAAGGGAAAGCAAGCAAAGACTGGAGGGAATAACAATCTTAATCATAACAATTCTAATCAAGCACATGCTTATACTACTCAAGTGGAGAAAACTTCTCGGGGAACAGAAAGTGGAGCAGGTTCTGTAGTGACTCAAGAGCAATATCATCGTCTACTTAGCCTGATCCAGAATTTGGCAGGTTCCCAAAACACCTCTTTAGTCTCTTCAAACCCAAACCAAATGAGCAATTCAGGTAATTCCCTTAGTTTTTGCACTTCTATAAGTGCACACACTATTTTACCCCATTATTACTCCTGGATCCTTGATACAGGAGCTACTGATCACATGATCAGTAATTTTTCTCTCTTCCAGTCATACACACCTGTTTCTAACCTCTTTGTTAATCTTCCTATTGGATCTAAAGTTTCAGTTTCACACATTGGCAATGTTCAACTCTTTCCAAGAGTAATCCTGACAAAAGTTCTATATGTGCCCAATTTCAATGTTAATCTGCTATCTGTCGGTAGATTGATATCAGAAAATTCTTTGACATTCTCATTCCATGACAATGAATGTGTTTTGCAGGACAGAGATATGAGAGTGAAGATTGGCATTGCTAAGCTGACTGGAGGACTGTACATACTCCAACCACAAAAAGAACTGTCAAGTTCCAGTATTTTGTAAACCTCTTGTAATGTTTCTTCTAGTACATGGCACCAAAGATTGGGTCATGTTTCTGATTTCAAACTTCAATCAATAAAAGATGTATTACACATTTCAGTTCTTGATAATAAAAGTTGTAGTATTTGTCCTTTAGCCAAGCATCACAGAACACCTTTTCCCACAAGTAGTATCAAATCAACAAAAATCTTTGATCTAATCCACTGTGATGTATGGGGGCCATTCTCCACTCCTGCCTATGATGGTTTTAACTACTTCTTAACCATTGTAGATGACTTTTCTAGGGTTGTTTGGTGTTGCTTAATGAAACAAAAATCTGAGACCAAACAACACCTCATTTCTTTTCATAAATTGATTCTTACTCAACATGACATTAGAATCAAAAACCTAAGAAGTGATAATGGAACTGAATTCCATCTTCCTGAGTTTTATCTCAATGAGGGCATCATTCATCAAACCACCTGTCCTTATACTCCTCAACAGAATGGAGTAACCGAAAGGAAACGCCAAACTTTACTCAACATTGCTAGGGCCCTAAGGTTCCAAGACAAACTTCCTTTGCAATTTTGGGGAGATTGCATACTCACAGCTGTCCATATTGTCAATAGGTTACCCACCCTAGTTCTAAATAACAAATCACCCTTTGAAGTTTTTCATAACCAAATGCCTGACTATTCTGCTCTCAGGTCTTTTGGGTGTTTATGTTTTGCCTCCAATCTTATTGGTCACAAAAACAAGTTTTAGTCAAGAGCCAGGAAATGTATTTTCCTTGGTTATCCTACTAATACCAAAGGTTACAAGCTATATGACCTTGACACTTGTCAAACATTCATTTCTCGAGATGTCACCTTTCAGGAGTCTATTTTCCCTTTTGAAAGTATTAAATCTATTTCAGATAATGAAGTCTTTCCCATCTCCATTCCTAATTCATCTTCTCAACAGTCCAACACTACTGATACAGTTTCATTATCAAAAGACAATACTCATACTCACACTTCTTCTCCACCCAATGAAATACCATACACTTCATCTAGACCACCAAGACAAAGAAAACCTCCTTCTCATCTTCAAGATTATGTATTTACAGCCACTCAAGTCATGCCAACAATTGTTACAACTTCACTCTCCAGTATCAAATCAGGTAAGACAAAGCATCCTCTTGATAAGTACATTACATCTGCTCATTTTTCTTCTTCATATCAACCCTTCTCTTCTGCCATATCTAATATCATTGAACCAACATCCTATTGACCTATTCCCAAGCCTCATCTGACCCAAACTGGAGAAAGGCTATGCAGGATGAGATAGCAGCTCTTGAGTCAAATGGAACTTGGTTCATTACTGATTTACCTCCAGGCAAATCTCCTATGAAATGCAAATGGGTATATAAGATCAAACATCATGCGAAAGGCAGCATAGAAAGGTATAAGGCCAGACTTGTGGCCAAGGGTTTCACTCAAATAGAAGGACTTGACTACATTGATACATTTTCACCAGTTGCTAAATTTAATACAGTAAGGGTCCTTCTTGCTATGGTAGCTTCAAAAGGTTGGTTTTTAGAACAATTGGATGTTCATAATGCATTCCTTCATGGAGATCTCCATGAAGAGGTCTATATGACCATTCCTCCAGGTTTTGAACAACAACAGAAAGGCAAAGTTTGTCGTTTAATGAAGAGTCTATATGGCCTTAAGCAAGCCAGTAGTATGTGGTTTCCATCTTTGCATTTGGCCAATTTTCATACATGCCTATTTTTTATGTTCACCTACTTTCCTTCATATTCTCAATACCTAGAATAATTGTAAAGGTGTCGA